AAGGGTTTTTATTGCTCTTTGGGTAAAACAAATCCAACTGCTGGGTTAACTTAGGTCATTTTTTCCTTTGATTTACCTAAATAAACAACCGAGTACACTTTAGAGTTTAAGACTTCAAAACAGAAGTTTGCAAAGTTGAGTGAAACTTTGTAAAAATAATTGAAGAGTTATTTTAGAAACCACTGTGGATTTGGACTCCAAACAAAAGCAATAAAGTCATTCTGGAGAGAAAAAAAGGGTTCTCCTCTTGATTCATGTTCAGGTAGTTCTTCAGTTTTAGTGCTGGTGTCTTTCCCCTGCAGCAGTTCTCGAGGCAGTAGTTTTGTCTCTCAGAGGGAGACGTCTCATCGATGTGCACTCAAAGGGCAAACACTGTTTGTTTTCTTGGCTGTCCTTTTTCCCTCCTGTCTATGTGTGCGTGCGTTCACTGCGCTCTGTGTTTGCGAGTGTTTATAAATGTTCAAAGTTGTCCTCATTTAAACCTTGTATCTCTCCTCTGTGGGTGTGTGCATTTTGTTTGTCCCTTGTCTCTTTCTTCCTCCATATCTCTGTTTCTTCTAAGTGTGAACCGACAGACACCACCCAGCAAGGTTAAATGCATACTGACCCTCTCCGTCGCGTTTCAGTGCAAACTTAACGTTATCTGAAGCTTCTTGCTTATTTTCCTTTAAAGTAAGGTGACGGGCCACCTCTTCTCTCCAACAGCCCCAACCGTAATGCTTGTTTGTAATTTACATTTCCATTTGTTTTAAATTGATTCAGCGATGCTGTCGATTTAAACGCTTCCTGAGGCTGAAATCAGGAGATATCTAGCTAATTGCGTCTCTGTGTCACCTGTGATTACCTTTCACTTATTGAGTGCTCTCTCACGCCACTCTGCTTCGGCTGAAAGAGAAAAGAAAAACCTGTCGAAAGCGTGAAATCAAGAAAAACAGATTCTTGGGAGCTCCACACATGGTGTTTCGTCTGCTCACGCTAGTAAATATCTTTCCGCAAATCAATAAACTCATTTGTTGCTGTGTTTAATAAGCTGTTTACTGATACTGTTTTAAAATGCATGTGTCTTAATTTATGAGGCTTAATTCAGTTGCAAATTTGTTTTGTGAGCACAGAACTGAATATGAATAATGCATGAAGCGAAAAGGCAAACTAGGAGGAAAGAAGGGACAAATATTTCTGAAGAGAAATAGCTATGTACGTAACGTAGAACTGTAGTTTAGTTCCCATTATTCTGTTTAAATGGAAATTTAACTATCAAAAAGGATGCAAAATTGCTGTTTGAACTTGTAATGAAACGCAAAGAAATCCAAATAATTGCAAATGGAAAAAGTTAATTAGGAAACTCAGAATCTTGGTTTTAAGCAATAGCAAAAAAACTGAGATTTATATTTCCAGCTTTGGTTCATGAAATCAAATCACATCTGTAGCGGATCATTTGCTTTGAAACTGCCTCTAGTGTCTCCTTTAAAAAGTTACGATACCCCTGACATGTATAAAAATGTATACCTTGTCAAGCATTAAAAAAATAGTTATCATAGGAATAAAATAACTTTGATTTAATCATTGCTTCTTCAACAGCAATTACATGGAGAGCAATATGTATTTATCCTTAGGTTGAGTTCAGCTTGCAAATTACTGACTGACTCGATTTTGACACAAACTGTTTCACATTTGGGTGTTGTGCCACCTCACAAGGATAAGGATGCAGAAATCGATTATCTCATACACTGTGTCATTGTGGATGACCACAGGAGCAGTGACTATCAGCCTGATCTCAGGAAGTAATGTAGCTATTTTGAGTTTTGTTAGTTTACTGGATAATTCATACAAATTGGGATGAGTTCTGTCATACAAAAATGTACGATTTTTAAAAAGAAACGTGGCATCAAACCCCACTATTAAACCCAACTGTCATTAGGCAATGAGCAGTTGTACTAAATTGAATGATTTGAATTAGCCACTAAATCAAAAAGTTACTGTTGCCGCAAGATATTGTTGGTTTATATCAAAGGCTTACCCTGTTCAGTTGATATCAGATCTAATACACAGTAATTAATTGGAAAGAGGAAATATTGACTCCTTAATGTGAACTTTAAATTTTTATTATTATTGTTTTTTTTTAGCTCTTATCGTAAACTAGCTCATTTATTATTTTTTTTTTACAATTTCTTTTAATTTTTGTATTTTATTTTTAATTTATTTCAACTATATATATATTTTTTATTTCAGAGGATATGTTTGTTTATAATTCATACATTTAATTTATTTTATTTTAAGGAGATAAGAAAAATAAGTCAATCTGTATTTTTTCCTGTGTTGTATACTATGGTGTATTGTCTTGTCAAACACCAATAAAAAACTAAAAAAATAAAAGGTATTTTTGGTTCAACAGAAGAAAGGAGGGTTTTTTACGTCTTCCTACACTAATTCATTTTTTTTTTCTGTTGGCTTTGGTCTATATTATACCCATTTTTATGGTTATAGGTTCAGACTCTGTGATCAAAATACCAAAGTCTGCAAATAAAAAATATATATATACTCTTTATTTTAGTTGACTTTATTTTAAGTTATTCAAAACTAAATAACATGAGCTATGCTATTCATGATTATTGTTCAACTAAATACTTTTCCTGCATGCCAATGATTATGTAATTTCTATCTATTTGTCTTGTTTTGTAAGGAGTTATGAACACTTGAATGAAACAAATGAGAACTTTTTCAAAGAAGTTGTTCAACCCAAAATTAAAGTTTCATCATCATTTACTTGCACTCTAAAAAATGCTGAGTAATGTTAGGTCATTTTTGGTAAAATGTGGACAAAGCAAACAGCTTGGTCATTTTTTTCTTTGTAGAATTTATTGACCTTATTCTACAGTGCAGAAGTGCACTCATTTTTGGGATTGTTTTACAACTTCCGATTCAGTCGCCTATGGGAGAAATGACAACGCAATCTGAAGGCAATTCGTAACTTTTTGATTTAGTGGCTAATTCATACAAACTAATTTGTACAATTTAGTACGATTTGCACATCACCCAATGACAGTTAGAGTAAGGGGTGGGTCTTCTTTTTAAAATTTTAAATCCTTTTTAAAATAATTACAGATCAGGCTGGAAATGACTGAGAATAATAAAACGGTCAATCTATGTGCTCTACAAACAAGTGTGTTCATGACTATACATAAAAAGTGCAATAATATAATAATAAAATATCAGTTTGAAACAGCAAGCAGCATAATTAACTACTTTTTAACGTCTAAAAATGGATGGAAGTGAATGAGACCGGAAGTCTCAAGCCAAAAAGATTAAAATGGCTGCGCACCTGCCCTTACAAGAAGAAAAGGTCAATAGGACCAAATTTAACCAAACATTTGGGTTTGTCCATATTAACCCAATTTTGGTTATACTAACCCAGCATTTTTTATAGGGTACTCTCATGTCATCCATGCTTAACAGGATATTCTTTATTGGCTTCTTAGCCCTTAATATGGGAAGTATACCACCCTAGTGTTGTTTTGAATGCAGCATAAATGCTGGTTTTTCAGCAAGACCAACACTGAAAACATGCCATGCTGGATTATTTATTGTCAAACCTATGACTTCAGGCTAGGGAACATAAAAATAAACAAATCTCTATTTTCATGCAATAAAATTCAACAGTATATTTCTTTTTCCTTGTAAAACACTGATGTTGGTTCATAAAATGTCATTAGCCTTATAAATAGAATAGTTGTCAATGGAAAATCCCTGCCATGTGTGGCTGTTCTCTACATCACACCGATGTATCTGTTTGATTTTCTAGTCTATTTCAAGACTGCCACACACTGATAAGCATCATACACATTGCACCAGCTTTCATGTACCAAACACACCAAACTAATGCATTCGTGTTTGGATTTACTGGTGGTTGTGAATCATAATGAGTCTCTAAAGATCTATTTTATGGGGTGTGACCCCACTCTTGCTGTGTATATGAGTGAGAAGGAGCTCTTTCTCTTGATATACAGACTGTGAATATACAGACCATCTATCTTGAGGCCAGCGCAGATTTACCCCACACTCTCAAATGCTGTTTGAGAGCCTGCGGGCAGCACGATCAGGGGATATGCCTCATTATTCCTGTCTGACTCAGGTCTACAGGCTCTTATTGCTGTGTTTTCTTTAAAAAAAACCTTCTGATCCAATCCATTATTGGAATATTTGACAGAAATAATGACCTTCATGTTATAATGATACTAGAAAAACTCTTTCTGTGGCACTTTTATGACAAAAAAAGAGCTAAAGCTGCACCTTGTGTCACAACCCATCATTTCCTCTCATCTGTTACATCCAGATTTTGAACTTTTGATCATTATATGCTTTTCTTCTGCTGCGTCATGACCTGAAATGAGCCACACAGCCCGGATCCTGCTTTTTATCTTCATGACATCAAAAGTGATAACAAACATCTTTCACACAAAAACATAAAACCACAAAATGTAAAGCTTCTTTTTTTTAATATTATGTAATGAACATTTTTATTTAGGGAGGCTAGGCTAATGTCCGTGATCTTCAGCATGGTCCTCCATGGCCCATATATATGGTACTGTATGTGTTCCCATGGGAGCACCAATCTTCATTTATTTATATCTGTTTTAAATAAAGTCTCAATTTGATTTCAGTCTGTTCCTGGTCATTAAAGCAGTTTATAGACAGCTATTGTTTACAGAGACAAGAGAACATTGCTCTCAAGCGAAGGATTGGTAATCTTAGCATGCATTCTTAAACTACAAGGAAGCATCAACAATATGGCACAATATTTTACAAGCTGTCTCATGAGAACAGTAATCTACATCGACCGGACACTATGTGCGTGTTTAGGAGCTCACTGAAAAACTAACATTGGGATACATTGGCTCCTCCACATCATATGACAGACAAATGTTCACAGGATTCAGGTGTTTTCTGCAGAAATCCGCTAATTAAGTAGTGAAGGTGTCAACACAGGGCAGGGATGCGTAACATCAGTAGCATCTTTTAAACTTGATGAGTTTGTGGAAGGCTTGTTTGAAGTCGTCGTTGAAGGCAGTGTAGATGACTGGATTGATGAGCGAGTTGAGGTATCCCAGCCAGGTGAACACATCAAAGAGCACAGGATGATACCAGCAGTCTTTACAGACACCCATCACCAGCGTAAACACGAAGAATGGGAGCCAGCACACTATAAACGCACCCAGGATAATCCCAAGAGTCTTGGTGGCCTTCTTCTCCCGAGCAGCACAAAGACGCTTTCTTTCTAGCACACTGTCAGCCAGCTTCACTTTCACACTGTTCGTGAAAAGAGGAGACCCTCCTCCTCCTCCTCCACCACCACCACTACCTCCTCCTCCTCCAGCATGAAGATGTCCCTCCTGATTAGAAGTGGAGTTCAGCGAGCAAAGCGAAGAGCCTGCCGAGTTCTGGATGAGCTGAGCAGCAGTGAAGCGCTTTCCGCTGGTCGCCGGTGTTTTGAAGATCCTGGAGCGAGCTGCCACATAGATACGCCCGTAGAGGATCATTAGGAGCACCGTGGGAACATAAAAGGCGCCAAATGTGGAATAGAGCGTGTAGGAGATCTGGTCGGTGTTGACCATGCACTCCGTGAGCTCCTCATGAGCCTTCGCCTGCCGCCAGAATAGAGGAGGTAAAGAGATAGAGACGGAGATCACCCATACTATGACAATCATCAACGCTGCTCGCCGCATGGTTCTCCGTTTCGAGTACTCCAAGGCGTCCGTGATGGCCCAGTATCTGTCCAGCGCGATCACGCATAGATGCAGGATGGAGGCCGTGCAGAACGTTATATCAGATGATAGCCAGATATCACACACAATCTGACCCAGAGTCCAAGTCTTACTGACCGTGTAGACGATGCTGATCGGCATGACTAAAATGGACACCAGGAGGTCTGTCGCTGCGAGAGAGCCAATCAGGAAGTTGGCAGGGGTGTGAAGCTTGCGTGTGAGGAAAATCGTGGCGATTACAAAAGCGTTGGACAGAGCTGTGGCCAAAGTGACGATTGCTAGCATGGCAGAGATGGAGATCTGCAGACTGAGGAGCGTGGCGTCGTCCCAGGACTCCAGGGTTGTGGGACTGACTGTGGCATTGATGAGGAAAAACTCATCGGAGCTGTTGAACAGATCCATGTTGCATGGTTCAGCAGCGCTTCACATCATCTATGCATGATTTTTTTGGTGTTAAGGATTAATTATCCCATGAAAACATCTCGAGGTGAAAGAGTAATTCTAGTTCGGCTGTTGGAGATATTGGTAATGCTTTACATTTGTGAAGGTCATGGCTGATAAATGTGAGTGGTAATTCATGGTTGAAGGTGCTGTTACTCTTTTTGTGCTCTTTTTGCTTTGTTTTTGAAACCCAGCAAGTTAAATGCCACAGAACAAACAAGGGTCCGGCGTTATTCTTTGTACTTGACTTAAGTTATAAAAATATTCCTTTAGCCCTTAAATCACTGCTCATTATTTTCTTTATTGTTCCTTATTCTGCTATTCTTCTTTAATGGGAGATCCCTCAATTTTGGGTAATATGAACTGGTGGAAGACTTTTTAATTTATTCTCCAGTTGGTCAGCAGAAGCTCTGTTGTTTCAGACTAATGGCACAGAATATTCCTTCATTCCCTGTACATCCACGGATGGCTGGTTTTGCAGTTTCCCTGAACACCAAAAGCTGTTGAAAGTTCTCGTTTTGGCCCTGTGTAGGTGTTAGTCCAGATGAAAGAAATCAATCCAAGTGAAGATCTGAAACAGAGAGAAAGAGGAAAAGAACTGAGAACTCCAGAAAACACTTCATGATTTTGGTCTTTCTCCATACACACACACACTGAGTTGGATCTGTAAGATGATTATAAATCAGAGGATCAATGAATTTTTCAAAACTTGCATACACTACCTGACAAAAGTCTTGTTGCCAATCCAAGTTTAAGGAACAGCAAATAATAACTTGATTTGTAGTTGATCATTCGGTATCAGAGGTGACTTTACAAAAGGCAAAGGCCTCTAGATTCTGCTTATTTTGCCAAAATAAAATATGATCGTGCCTTGATATTTAATTATTTTATTACTATATTAAGCTCTGACTTTGCTTAGACAAAAGTCTTGTCGCTTAACAGAAATATTGTACAGTATAGAAAACAAAGTCATGCTGCAGTGAAAAAAGAATGAATATTGTGTATGACCCCCAAGAGCTTGGAGGACTGCATCCATACATCTTTGCAATGACTCAATTAACATTAATAAAGTCATGTGGAATGGCAAAAAAAAAGCGTTCTTGCAGGACTTCCAGAGTTCATCAAGATTCTTTAAATTCATCTTCAATGCCTCCTCCTTCATCTCACCTAGACATGCTCAATAATGTTTATACTTGGGTACTGGGCTGGCCAATCCTGGAGCACCTTGACCTTTATCTTGACCTATACAACTTGGATTGACGACAAGACTTTTGTCAAGTAGTATAGAATTAAAAATTGGAAATGGAAATTGGAAAATGGAATTCCTCTGGTGACATCAGCTTGATAGCCTGGGCAGAATATCTTAAACCACTGCTCTCTTATCTTTTGTTTTCTGCAAGTGAGAGATGGTGAGTAGGAATTGTTCAAACGGAGCCCTCAATTCAATATTTAATACAACCATTTTTTTTTCCAGCTGGAAATACATCACAATACTGAAGTCGAGTCAGTAGGAACATCCAGTTCATCCAGACTTCAAAAGCCTAGTATGCAGTGTTATTGACTCCGGTGGCCGCTAAGTGAACTGCAGCCTGAAACTTATTCACACTTTCTCATTGTCAATATGTCATTGAAAAAACTTTTTGAAAAGACTTTAGTTGATTCAGTGCCCATCTTGAAGTCAAAATGTAGTTCTATTTCCTTCGTTTATTACAAATAGAATAACATCCAGACACGTGATGCTTGGAGAGAGATGTTGAAATGGATAGTAAAAGTCCACATTTAGGAAAGCATCTGAGCACTGCATTTCACAGCATTCTTGACAAATATGGTAAATAAAAGGATAGTGTTATGATGTTTGCATTTTAAAGTATATTTTATGTGGCAAAGTGAGGTTAAAGCTTGAATTCATCCCTTTCTTTACCAGAATTAATATAATTAGGCCCTTTCTTTAAAAGTGTGTGTAAACATCACATAATAACTTATTCATTTAAATTAGCGGTGAGTAGGTAGTGAACAGCAGGGGAGTGCTATTTTAATTTCCAGAGCTCTTAATCTTCCTTCATGCTGTTTTGTAGGATTACAGGAGAAAGCTAGAAGTGCTTAAAAATATTAGGAAGTCATATTCAGATTTTTATTCTTGCACAACCACACCATCCGTAATGAAACCCATTGTGCATGCACAACCTCACATACTTGTTCTCCTTACTTGAGCTGCAAATGGAATTCATTATTTTTCTGATATCTTCATTATAAACTCAAGAGAATTCAAGTAGCAAGTTTTGCCTGCATTTACATAATTCTTTACCCTTGGCTCTGCTTTTCGGGCTCAAGCTTTGATTGATGAGTATCTCGAGTATTGTGCCTCCAGGGGAAACCTGTCACCATAGGGTTTCCAGAATTTCTCTGTCTGACTAACAATGTGTCGTGGCACCTGCAAGCAATCCAGCTTTGGCCTGGTGGCAAAAAAGAAAGCAAACTGCGGTGCTCACTCTCCTGCCGTCAGGTCACACACATCAGTCATTTCAGCTGCCAGCATCTTCACTTAAACATTTGCAGTCCCAGCGCACACGCATTCCCTTTTCTTCATAGTTAGAAACAAGCATGCATCTATCTGAATATTTATAGAAAACCCTACTGGAAAACATATCAAAACATGTCATGAATCCATACATTCCAAACTAGGTGGGGGGAAAAATAATAATTGTGGTGCAATTTAAATTCTATGTGATGCTGTTTAGGGCCAAGCATTCGGATCTGAAATTGAAATTCTGCAAAGTAAACATGTCCTCTGCCCTTCATGTATAAAACATGCTATTTCCGTACTTGTAATTGAAAGCATAAAGGTCATACAACCCAATAAGACCTGACACTTTTTCTGGTAAATGGTGTTGGTCGAGTAGCCAGGATATACGCTTAGTGACTCGGAGAACACACCGCATGTTAACCCAATAAATGGCACATGGATAATAGGAATATTCCAGGTTCAGGATGACAGCTCAGCTGACAGATTTTTTGGCATAAAGTTCACAGAAATTTTCCACCTTCAATCATACAATAGAATACTGTTTCAGTAGTAGGTAGCATACACTGTATGTCATATTTTTAAAAGTCTCTTTTGCTCATCACGGCTGTGTGTATTCTATTGAATTTATGAAAACCATTCATTAATTTTCTTTTTGGCTTAGTCCCTTTATTAATCAGGGCTCGTCACAGCAGAATCAACCGCCAACTTAGCCAGCATGTTTTACGCAGCGGATGCCTTCCAGCGGATGCCTTCAAGCCACAACCCAACACTGGGAAACACCCATTCTCACATTTTCACACATCCACTACGGCCAATTTTAGCTTATTCGATTCACCTATAGCGCATGTTTGTGGACTGTGGTGGAAACCGGAACATGCGGAGGAAACCCATGCGAACACTGGAAGAACATGCAAACTCATACAAAGAAATGCCAACTGACCCAGCCAGGGCTTAAATCAGCCACCTTCTTGCTGTGAGGTGATTGTGCTACCAGCTGCGCCACCATGACGCCCTTAATGGAAACCAATTTTTGCCAAAAGAAAAATATTAAGAAAGAGGGCGAGTGCATTTTTTAAACTATCAATTCTGTCCAATAATTCCTTCCCATAATTTTTTTGCTCTCACAATTTTGAGTATATATATATGAGCAATATCACACAAGTAGCAGTGCGATATGGCTTTATATCGGCACTGGTAGGAGGCATGCAATAGTGCCCCTACCAGTGCCAATATACAGCCATATGGCACTGCTACGAGTGTGATATTGCGTTTATACATCAGTTTGACGGCATAATTGTGTATATAAAAACAAAATCAAACATGGAGAGTCTCAAAAACCCTTTTGTATGAGGAACTACTTTCTTCCACATTGGATTCAAATCATAAGCTGACAGTTAAACAGTTGAGCGAGCATCTTTTAAACTTTAGATCTGTAGTGTCTGCTTTTTGCTGGCTGTATGTGGGCGGAGTAATACACAAAGGGTAAAGAGGCTGTAGAAGTTCTGATATTGCAGAATATCCCACAGCTATCAGCCAATCAGATTTGAGAACCAGACAGAACTGTTATTATATATATATATATATATATATATATATATATATATATATATATATATATATATATATATATATATATATATATATATATATATATAATTTAGCTTCTAAATAGCTGAATTCAAGATTAAAAGTCTCAATGTGCTTTCACATCTGTGGTTCAGTTCATTTGGTCTGGACCAAGGGCAACAAATGACATTGTAGCATTTTTCTGCCGTTTTGGGTCCTTTTCACACCACACTGATTGCTTTGGTCAGAACCAGTTGAAAAGAATCAAAATGCAGTCATGTGACAAAATCCACATCACTAATTGGCCAGATGTTATTGATCATATTTCCTAAACACAAACGAACCTCTGTACGCTTTTTTGGCCCGCTTTTGGTGTGCACTTGAGTGTGATTGCTACATTCACACCTGCCCAAACGAACCGCACCAAGAGGGAAAACGAACTCTAGTACAATTCAACTGAATTAAATAAGGCAGGTGTGAAAACACCCTTAGTTACAAGCTTACTGAAATATTGTGAAATTTATAATTCATTTAAAACAATTGCATTTTTAATTTTATATACAATATGTGGTGGTAGGTGGCTCGGTGGTTAGCAGCGTTGCCTCACAGCAAGAAGGTGACTGGTTCAAGTCCCGACTGGTTTGCATGTTCTCCCCAAGTTTGCATGGGTTTCATGCAGGTGCTCTGGTTTCCCCCACAGTTTAAAGAAATGCACTATAAGTAAATTGGGTAAACAAAATTGGCTGTAGTGATAAGTGCTTGTGTGAATGTGAGAGTGTATGGGTGTTTCCCAGTCAGGCTTCCACTGCATAAAACATATGCTGAAAGAGTTGGCGGTTCATTCCGCTGTGGTGATCTCTGATCAATAGGG